CTGAGCTTGTCATACACCGTATCAGAGTTTCGGTAAACTTGGCTGTGCTCATCAGCATCGAGGTGATTTTCAAGTTCACTGAATTTCTTGAAAACCATGTCGTACCGGGCTCAGAACAAGAGAAAAGACCGTTGCATTGTTTGGTTTCACTGTTTGTCTCTCTCTTATATACTCGAACTTCTATGAGTGGAAAGAAGTTCTCATGCACAATGAGGTCAGTAGGACCTTGAGGTTCAGTTATGACTTCTCGGTAAGGAATAAACCTGCCCAGTCCAACACCATCAGCTCTCCATGCTTTAATTCCTTCCACTTCAAGCTTGAACTTGTGATACTTGCTGAAACCTTCTATCTTATGTACTTTGAGTGTCTTTTGAGTCTCATTTATTACGCACACGGAGGCAGTTGTACTTTGAACAGGGCATTCTGAGAGCGCTACACGCATGTCTCTGGCAGAAATGACACCGTGTCCCTCATTGCAATATCGTCGGATTGATGGTTTCATTGAACAAAGGATTCTATCACATATCTTTTCCATACTGCGGCTGGAAAAGTCATACCGTGCTACTTCAATGCCTACTCGTCTTCCGGCATCTCTAACGGCGGCTAAGAGAAAGTTATTGTGGTAGCAGCCTGCTTCATCACTCCTTAGGTTCACTTGGGTAATCTGGGGATGTTCTTTCTTTACAACCTCAAGCGTGTTTTCGATGATTGAGCACACTGCGTACCAGTCTTGTTGGCAAGAGTCGAGGATATGAGCATACAATTTCAGCTCAATTTTTCCAGAGTCAACATTCTTAGTTACAAGGGTGGAAATATGCCAGCTCAGCCCCCGTTTTCCGAACCATTCAGACTGTTTCTCACGAAATTTTATTTGGAGGAACTTCATAGCCCAGTCCATGATCAGAATGGCTGACTGTGGGTCTTCTGATTTCAGTGCATCTTGTTTCGCCTCCTCCTGATTTATTGAGAGCACAATGTGTGCTTTCCACAACAAGATGTCTGACTGTGCACCATCAAAGTCATAAAGGACATCTTCTCTTTGTTTGCAACTGTAAGGCTTCCATGATGACCCTTCAGTCGCTAGTCTCACTTCCTTTAGAACATCCTTCAGCCCTTGGCATTGCTCGCAAGTCAATTGATGCTGATGCGGACAAGGATGCTGGAGCTCGGGATCAACAGGATCACTAAACGCAAACTTTCTACAGTGGTCAGCACAAGTAGAGTAATGCTGTTGACAGTGTACACGGTAGTCAGTTTTGAGATAGCGTTTAGCATCGCATAGGTTTTGGCAAATACGTAAACACCACTGTTTCTCCATTCCTCCTTTCTCAAGAGTTGTAATCAGCGTCTCGATAGTCTGAAAGCCCGCAGCACTATCTGCAGCCTTATTGTCTAAGCCCTGGAGCGATATACACTGAGACGCTTCGTGAACCTCCAATATTTTAAACAGAGTAGACCTACTAAGTGGCTTGTGACATTGCTCTTTGCAATACTCCAAGTATTGCTCAATCATTGTAGACCTGGTCAGGATCCTTACTACGTTAGGCATCTCAATTCTGTCACCATTATCTAGGGTGAGTACCTTGTTACCATATGAAACATCCTGATAAAAATATGGTCTATTAATGAATTCTACCAAGTGGTCAACCTTCCACACATCAAGGCGTACACGATGCTTCGTCTTGATTTCAGGGATGGTCCCGGGGCCGTGCATTTTAGCATGAGAACGTGCTTGCTTTATTTTCCATGTAGAGAGACTTTCTTAAGGTTGGTGAATTTTCTTCAGTTTGGTCATAGGGCATCTATGAGCATAAAGGCTCAGAATCTGTTTCTTTAAATTCCTGGTCTTTGCATTCTTATAAGCAGTCATGAGTACCACAAGATCATCAGGGGCTGAGTCATCAAATAATTCTCTTTGTACAGACATCATTGACTCGAAGAGCTCCTCTCATTACCTGGGGCAATTACATTACATACGTGCAAGCAGTCCTCTTTAGCCTTTTCTACAACTTTTAACTTTTCCCCATCGCTTAAGTTTTGGAATGGAGTTTTTAGCTGATATTTAAGGGGCTCGCGTTCTAGTTGTTCTTGTGTAATAGGGTTCACAATTGTATCCATCGCCTTGTTATACATGCCGACTGCATCGGTTACCACGGGTGAAGTAAAAGAGGCCTCCTCTGACCCTGGAGTCCAGCATGGTGTTGTGGGATTCCAGGAAGCTGGTGTTGATTAGTCTTCAAGAAATGGAGTTGAAGTGACCATGCAACCGATGGCTCCAACGGCAGCCTCTTTAGTAGGTCTGCAGAGAATAGAAATGGAAAGGCTGCTACTTAGTTGCCTGCCTTGTGATAGGATAACCTGACAGGACAACCGTGTATGTATTTTTTATAAAACAACAACCAAATGACTTCCCTCCTGAAAATACCTTTGAAGGAGCACATCTCCCTCAGTTTCCTCAGGGTATAGCCAGTCTGATTTCCGATCTAATTCTTCACTGTGTTTTTGTGCAAATAGTTAGTAACAAAAAGAAACAAAAAATAGTTTTGCAACCTGGAAAGACTTGTTAAAAAATACTAGATTTACTTCTAAGTTGATAAAAGAAGCTATATCTTTTTAGTAAAATCCAGCTAGTGGTCTATTATCAATGCTGCATTCTGATTGGTTGAGCGACTACCCGGCTATATTTTATAGCTCACTAGTAGTGAAAAGCATGGGCTTTTTGGTGGCAAAAAAGGATTAAAGTCTAGCTTTAACTCACTAAAATTTCTTTATTCTTGATATTTTTTACCAAATAGTTGGATTTTACTAAAACAATTATTTCTCTCGCCCTCATGGCCTCTGAGTCAATAGCCCATTCGGCCTTCGGCCCCATGGGCTATTGACTCAGAGCACATTCGAGCTCGAGGAATAATTGTTAAATATTCCATCTTGGAATTATATTATATAGGCTATAAATCAGCTCCCAGATTTATGGATGAAGTGCAGTGAAGAACTATTGCTAATGAACTACAAAAACCAAATTATGTTCATTTGATATGCTATTTGTTTGGAAAAGTTTTTCTGGCTGCAAATACCATCAAATATGAGATCGATCGTTTATCATTCATGATATATACTGAATGGGACTTCCCCTCAGTCTATAGCCCGCTTTTAAGTAATTAGATCATGAACGAAGATATTTAGTTGAAATGTTAAGGAAGACAAAACCTTTTAATTCTGATATGTTAAATATAAAATGAATGAATAGAACAGTTATAGTTGCTAGTCTGATAGTACTTACGCGAGCCAATGGGAAGGGCTTCTCCAAAGATATTTTTTATTTCCCTTGCGGTTTTGAAATTAATAACATGTGTTCTGGCTATTGCCATTTTCTTCCTGTGATGTTTTGGATACTGGCAGGTCTTTAGAGCTTGCCAGTATTTTCCCAAAGTGTAGCAATGGACTGGACAAACCGTCATATTCTTGATCTGATCATCAGTGAGTTCTAAGAGACCTGCCCTTGCCAGTGTCAGGTCCATTTCACAAACATTTTCCCTTGACAGGCGGTGATTCATTAGGTGATGTCAGCATTGCAACTATTCAAGCACAGAAAATCTACACATCCTCGATTACTTCCGCATTTTCCACCTGTTATTGCAGAAAAAGAACAAAATGCAGCCATTCTATCTGCGAAGGTTATCCCGGCACACTGTAAATACGGTCTAGGTTTTGTGTTGCAAATTTGCATACGTTGTTAAATTAAGTGAACGATGGCAGAAAAATTAACCTAAATTAAATTGAAAACTTGAAGAAATAGTAACCCAGCAACACATTTTTATTCTTAAAAGTAGCCAGTTTTTTTGTACTTTGTTTATTTTACCTTGTTAAGCCTGATAAGTAGTTTCAGCTTTGATAAAATAACATCCAACATGTTTTGCACTGCAAACTGAAATCTGAAATTGACATCCTCAGACCCAACATAAATTATGTCGTCTGCACAGAAAAAGTTGTGGCTAGAAAATTCGGTATATTTTGGTAAACTATTTCTTTGCTGAATCGTGTCATAACTTTTGAGGTGGTAATTACACGGTAAATCTATTCATAATGAATTTTAACTTTTTTTACCATTCTAATCCCTTTATTTCAAGGAAATTTCTTATAATCACTGTTTAGCCACAACTTGACATAGCAACATTCACCGGAGCTGCTACCTTTTTTTGTAGCATCCCTATTTTAGGACAATATGTTGTAGATTTTAAGATATTCACTGTTTATCCCCAGCATTGAGTTTGTTTTGAAAATAGTTTCTCTCTGACAGTAATGATTTTCGTTTTGTAGTAGGAAAGTTTGGAATCAGGAAAATGCGTAAATTACATCATATGCACAATTACAGTAGAATATTACCCAACTTTATCAAACTCTTGTGCTTCGGAATCAACAGTGCCCAAAAATGTTTTTCTTGATTTCAATACACGAGGCCTAGTACTGACCAGGGATAGTGACCAAGACTCCAGATAATGTCAGATTTTTGAAAAAAGTTCATTTAAAAACTAGGATAACCGCGCATTTTTTCAAGGACACTTTACGTGGTATTTTCAAAACATCATGATTCCTTTGTTAAGTAAGAAATTAAATATCTTGCCTTTTTTGAATAAAGGAAGCATGAATTAAAATCATACTTCTGTTTTATGTTATTTGGGTAAATGCGAAATTTGACCTTCAAAAAGACGATCATGACAGCTTTGGACCGTCCAGGCGAATCACCACCCAATTTTTTTGTAAAAAAGCACTATGAGCCAAACAAATTCGATTTTTGTTGATGGAATGGGCTAATTTTGTCTCAGAAAAAAATGAAGGAATTCTGTTTTCTGCGGAAATCTGAGTGGTCGGTTCTTATACACGGACCACCTCTTAACAGTTGACATGTGGACATTTCCAACAACAATTTAATGTCTTTCCTTTTTTGATTTGAAGTGATGCTGAAAAGGTCTGATTTTAGTGAATCTAAAACCTGATAATATTTATTGTCTTTTAGCTCTCTAATGTCAGCTCTGTCAAATCACCTACAACCTTCAGAATTGTTTTTATTTGTACTTGCCCTCATTATTTGTCTGAATATATGATATCTGATAGAAGTGCAACTTGAGGAACATTGCACACGTGTCAGCTTTTTTCCTTAATAGAAATGGACCATCATGGGATCAAATATGTTTCTGGGAAACTGCCCACATACCCCTTTCCTAAGCCAACATTAATGCTTACTTCTCACTTAGGGCAAAATGTTGGCTTAAGGGAGGGTATGTGGGCAGGTTCCCAGAAACATATAATAAACATTTAATAATTGGTTCCGAGGAAAAGCATTAATCTTGTTTCCCGAGGTGGAGCTGATGGAAACGTTGAGATGCGAGGGAAACAAACTCAACTGTTTCCCGAGGGACCAGTCTTTAAGTGATTTGTTATATAGCCCATGAAGAAAAAAAAACTTTTTTGAGTACAAATGTATGAAAATAAATCTCCCAAACAGTCAACATTCACAGGTAACATTGCACTGTTGCCCTCTGATGTCATGGATTTTGCATTGTTGCCTGCTCAGAGATTTTGGCAGGAAACAGCTTCATTGTTAGATGTCATTAGACATCAAAGTAACCTATGAGAGGATGCACTGTTGAGAAAAAATTTCCAGCTACATAACAAAAACAATTATGCAGATCGAGAAGGATGTAACGTCTGAGTAACTCACATCAATTATTATTATGTTCTATTCAATCTAAGCACCTTCCAAATTTGGTTGACACCAGCTGGATATTATAATTAACAATTATTTACCGAAGTGGAGGTGGCTAGTGGTGGAAATATTTACCGAGGCCGCAAAGGGAAATATCCACCACTAGCCACCTCCACTGTGGTGAATAATTGTTAATTATAATATCCAGCTGGTGTCAACCAAATAGGTAACCTGAGGTGAATAATCGTTTTAGTATATACTGAAACAGTGAGATAATTGGGCACAAAGATGATGATTTTTAACTCATTTACTGTTGCCAACTATTACAGTTTTGGCATGCAATGACCGAATGGCTGCAGTCATCGCTTTTTCTTGCCGACAAATAAAACTTTTAAAGGCATTTGTTTAGCTCTTGCAAGCAAATTTCTTCAAAAGGAGTTGTGAATTCTTTTTGTATTGAAAATCATTCTGTAAAAAATATTATTAAATTTACTTTTAAGCTTATTTATAAACAAGTCAACTAAATAAAGTAATGCAAGACTTGAGCTTAATTTGCATTCGTAGACAAAAAACTCATTCAGCAAATTCAAATTCAAATTTAGTTTTAAGCTTATTTATAAACGAGTCAACTAAATAAAGTTATGCAAGACTTGAACTTAATTTGCATTCGTAGACAAAAAACTCATTCAGCAAATTTAAATTCAATCAATTCAGACAAAAAACAAATTCAAGTCAAAAAGACAAAGCTTTACTTGTTAAAACTTCCAAACCAAACTTCGTCACCTTCTTCGTGTATTTCGGGAACAGCTTGCTTGATTAGTTGTGAAATTTCTTTGTTTGTTACAGCAGCAAACCGGTAAGGCATTTTGTTCGCAACTTGCGCAAGTTTGGTGCTGCTTGCTCGGAGGAACTGGAGGTGAATCAGTGAATAGTGCAGGTTATTCTCTGATTGAGTAGCCAATCAGAGCGCACAAAAATCACTATCCACTGTTTTAGTACATACTAATAAGGATTAGCTGGGAGAAAAAATGTCAAGCAGAAACAGAGTAATTAATTTGAATGAACAGTGATTTTATTTCTTTCTTAGGTGTTGGTGGTGCTGCAAAAACACACAAGAGCAGTTTACATGCAATTGGCTCCATTCTGCGACAGGAAGGCTTTCTAGGTGTCTATAATGGGTTAGTATATTAGGGGTGTGTTCAATTGATCATATTTTGGAATAATAATGCGGAAAGTTTTGTTGCAAATCTCTAATGTAGAGTTCTTTTTGGGCTACATGGTCTATACTCTGATTGACCTTGACTCTTGATCAATCATTGCATTTGCCCCCATGCAGATGTTCTTAGGGCTTTTTAACCGCTGCCCCGTTAGCTCAATGGGATAAGCGCCAGTCTGCTGAGTGGGAGGTCACGGGTTCAAACCCCAGCTGGACCAACACTCAGAGTCTTTAAATAACTGAGGAGAAAGTGCTGCCTTTGTAACAACATCTGCAAATGGTTGGACTTTCTAATCTTCTCGGATAAGGACGATAAACTGTAGGCCCTGTCTCACAAGCCCTTGCACAAGTAATAAATCTGTGGGACATTAAAGAACCCACACACTCTTCGTAAAGAGTAGGGCACGTAGTGCCTGGTGTAGTGGTCTATCTCACTTTCACTCTCATGTATGGGGGCATCATTACTCATTCCTTCATTACTTGTGAACTACACCTAAGCAGTCTGGCAAAGTCCCCCAACCAGTGTTGTAAATTATCCCTGAAAAGCCCTGAGGGGAGTGGATAATAAGATATTTAAAATTTGTCATGTGTTCCTTCCTCACATGTAGGATTACTTGAAGTTATTGTAAAACACTGATTGGCAGAGACACACTTGATCTTGGTATTTTTTAACATCTCCCTATTAAACTTCTGTTGCTTTTAGATTATCTGCTGGTCTTTTACGACAAGCAACCTATACCACAACAAGACTTGGTGTCTTCACTTCACTAATGGAACACTTTAAAAGGTAAATATTGTTAACATCCATAATACACCAGTGTTTAGTTCAAGAAAAGATGGGGCAAGCTAAGGCAACTCACCTGCGTATATGGATCATACCAAAATGGCTTCACCTTCTCTAAAGGCAGAGACTAGTCACAAAAAAAGAAAACTGACAGTAACAAAAATTCAATCAAAAATTTTCATTCCAAGAATGTTTTTTTTTTGTTCCCATGTTTTTGAAGTGTCAGGAGATTTTTTGGTGTTTCCCCTAATTCTTGAAAGTGATTTCCTTTATAGTTCGTGAAGGGGTTACTTTCCTCCAGCTGGCCTTCACATCACTGAAGTGTAGGTGCTGGTAGTTAGTTGGCACAATTTTAAATACTTAAATTTTGTCGTAGCAGCATAAAATGCCCGCACACAGGAACTACAGTTTATAAAACTGTACGTATGGATGTAATATCAAAACCTTGACCAAAAAAAATCTTTGAACATCTTTTCTAAGCTTATGTATTCTCTAATTATTTATTCTTATAAAGTATATCACGCAGCAACTTACATCAGAGTCTTTTGACTGAATGCTCTACTTGCAATCCCAAGAGACACGTTGTTTTTGAAAATATACAAATGTACATTTGTAGAGTTGAGTAATATAGTTGATATATTAACAAGTCATCACTGTGGCGTATGATGAAGGTCTTCTTGTAGCAGTCTGTTTCGTAGACAGGAATATTAAAAACTTTCCTCATCCTCAGCTGCGTATTATGAGCCGACTTTGGCAGCAGCAAACTGTTTAGCCAGTTTTTGTCCTGCAAAATATTGCTACAAAGGTTTAAATATGGTAGTAACTGGTATTGGACAGATAGTGTAGGGGGTGCTAGCCCTTTCTAATGCTTCATTCTACTTACTTAACCATGCCTTTTCTTGCAACTTATTATTTTTTTGCCTATCTTTCCATTTTTACTTTACATGCAAATAAAATGTACTTTTGCATCCGGTAGCCCCTGGTTGTATTCCATTTTACATCTTCATTCCTTCAAAATTTATGAAGTCCTGAAATTCTAGTAGAGTGCCTCTTTAAGTCTTAATTTAATCTCACCAACACAAAGCCAAGTCAGCCTAAATGCATAAGATATAGAAGAATCGGCCCAAGGCTTTGCCAATCGGTGGACCAGGATAAAATACGAGGTATGCTCCATCGGTACAGGAGGAGGGATGGGTGAGAACTGCTATCGAGGGTGCTGAAACCTAAACTTTACTACAACTGGCTGAAAAATCAAGCAGGCTGCTCTTAAAACTGACAGACTAGGTCTGTAGGTATGCCGTGTATTCTCCCGGGCCATGCTGAGAATGTGAGGAAGTGCATTGATACTAATTTAGGCTTTGTGCGTGTTTTCTGTGGCAGGAATAGTCTTTTAGTAACATATAGTTGACTTTATTTCTGTTTGACTTGTACAGTGTTGCATTTGTCCTTTTTTTTTCTCATATTTAGTCCTGATGGAACTCCACCTTCTTTTCTTATGAAATGTGCTCTAGGTAAGTGCATGTATCCTCATATTAAATATTTTGTCATATTGATTTATTTAAGGTATTTGTTTCAGGGCTGGTTTTTCTGATTATTTGTTGAAAACTTTTTGCTTGTAATTCCATTAATCTAGGATTATTAGTTTCAGTCAAGCCAGGCCAAGTGTACCCCCATTGGTTCTATAATGAACTTATTAGTTTAAAAAGTAGAATCCCGATTAGTCATTGTCTCGACTTGGGGATGAAATTCACACTTATATTCTTGCATGCATTTAGACTGAGTAGTGATTTTAGACTTCATTCTCCAGTCTGTATTCAAATAGATAAAATTCTTATGAAGGCTTTAATATTGAGTTCAAGAAGAAAGCTGAGCTGACAGAGATTTTAACTACCTGCCCATGTAAATTCACTGCTCAGCAGACATGCAAAAGTGATGAAATGAATCTGATATTGGCTTTTACCTATCAGATATCAGATTCAATTTTCCAATAGTATGATGAATTTATAGGTACATGTAGTCTTGACCACACTTGACTGTAATCAGCCAAGGGTGTCATGAACACACAGAATGATCCTTTAATCTAATTAACTTCCCTCTTAGGGAGGGGGTGGGGGAGGCTGGTCATCTACTAATATATTGGACATACAGTCAAAATACCAACACTGAGGGGTCCATAGGAAGTGTTTGTATTAAATGTAAAGGGCCTCCTTTCCCCAGGGACAAAGCAAACTGTCCATAACAATGAGGTGTTCATATTAAGTGGGTGTCCATAAAGCAAAGTTTGACTGTAATTTGTTTTAAAAGCCAAATATCTGTTTTCTTCAGGGATGACTGCAGGAGCTGTAGGTTCATTTATAGGCACCCCAGCAGAAATTTCACTCATAAGAATGACATCAGATGGAAGGTAAAGACACTTCTCCACTCCAGCAGTTGTACTGCTGTTTTAGTTGTAAACAGAGTTCTCAAAGCTCACACATTGAATTAAAACTCATTGGACTTAGGTCAAACTTGTTCTCTAACACAGAAGCCAACAGAGTTTATATGCAATCAGTGATCTTCACAACACTGAAATGATTAATTTTGTTAGTAGCCCTTAAGAGCTAAAAGAAAAGTCAGGGACCAGCAGTATTTTAAAAGATCAGTGCAGGAATGTCACTAAGATTTCAAGTTACCGGGTAAATACGACAAGTAGGCAGGGAATCAGACAGCTAGGAATGTCTTTTGGTCATATTTTTCTTATATTTTCCTATGAAAGTAGCTGGGGGCCACATTTATAGTAGCCAGGGAAAAAGCACGGCCCCCTGGCCTCTTAATGACAGCCCTGGATCAGTGGCTTAGCTGACGTGGCAAGGAAAGCCACCCATCATAGTCTAAATATTGCTGAGTGGTCAGAATAGTCAAAAAAGGGTTCAGTTTTTTAAATTTCTTGGGAGAGAGTGCCTCATAACCTTTCAGGTGAAACAGTTTACACATGACTTGTAGCCGTCTCAGAATCTCTCTCTTTATACATATACCTGTTTCAACATGAGGACTGTGTGAGGACTGTGCGAGGACTGTATGAGAAGTGACCTAAAGCGGTTGTAAAGATCACTTCGTCTCACCTCAAATACCTGAAATATACCCTAGGTAGCACAGGTTTTTTTCCTGCATGCAGCAGGATGAAAGCTCACTGGCACCTCGCTCTATCAGTGTAGTAACCAAACACATCCCTTCATTTTAAACTGTTTAATTTTGCTATTTTTTCAAACCACACAAATCTCATCACTGGAATAAGAAAGCGCAGAGCAACACTGTACTGAAACATTGTGTTTGTAGGGAACTGAAATTTCTAAAGGAATGATATATTTCCACAGGCTCCCTGTTGAACAACAGCGCAAATATACAAGTGTGTTTAATGCATTGTATAGAATTACAAAAGAAGAAGGAATACTCACTCTCTGGAGGGTAAGGTTATGTAGGATCACAGAATTCACAAAAAACCAGTGAAAGCTGCAGATAAAATTATGAATGTAAAAAGATGCATCGAGAACTGTCCAAGAGTAAAGAAACTTACAAGTTTAACAAAGTTGCATGTTTTCAGTCATATGGTGGTTCTTTCCAGAGCTAGTGAAAAACGGTTGTACATTACTGAAAATAGTATTCTATTCACATACATTCATATTCATGCTCAGTTCTAATAAGGTATGGAAAAAAGATTGATCAGCGGACTAAGCCAAGCTGGGACAGCTTGGCTTAGGAAGAGTTCAAGATACGACTCACGCGATTTTTGGGCGGGACTGGGTGGGCCGTCCACCTCTTCGCGGCTCCGCTGAAAAACTGAGCAAGAATGGTCTATTTTCGCGCCAAACCAGAATTTATTATCGGTAATTACGTAATCGCACGTGAGACCGCTAGACTAGCCATGAAAGAACCCATTATTGAATTATTTTAACCTCGCATATCATTATGAGTGTTGTGAATAGTATTCTATTCACATACATTCATATTCATGCTCAGTTCTAATAAGGTATGGGAAAAAAGATTGATCAGCGCCCAACAGCCCTCACTGTTCCTTAAATAGTCTTAGATAATTGCACTCCGACTCTCAAATCCTCTTACAACTTCCCAATCCTCAATCCTCCAACCCCTCTCATAACTTTAATCCCCAAGTACAGTAAGACACAGCTATACGTTTACAATTATAATCAAACTAAACTGGTATGAGTTTCCATAACAACATCTCTTCATTAAAGAAACGATAGTACAAAGGTTATAATCCATTCCAAAAACACCCTAGCCAAACAAAGTATCCTCATTCTGCTGGGCGTTTCCTCTGCTCAGCAGCTGGAAAAGCACACACAAAACGTTTCAGCTGATTCACATCCTGCCATGGAGCCACCACATTCTCAGCAGAAGGCGTAGCAAGTCGTCCCGACGGGCCATCATGTTTCAGAACCTTGGCCAGCTGAAGGTAATATAAGGCGGTATGCCTCCTAGCCCAACCCACGTGTTCCATAATCTCAGACAGATCCGCTCCTGTGAGGGCCAACGTTATCGCACAACCCGAACGAAAGCCATGCAATGTCTCACCATCATCAGCTTTCATCTGCTTGAGATACACTTTAAGACGCGCATCTGCTGCTGAAGAACTAAATGGAGAATCTTGGACACCATTATTAGAAGTTGTCGGACGAAACAAATATCCCTTTGTTAAATCAACGCCTAACTCCCTTGCCACTTCGACATATTGCTCAACGCCCTTCACAGGACAGATGACCGACTGGGGATTTCTGCGAACACCAAAGACATTACTGTCACCATCCCGCAAAGTCTTACCCCAGATATGATTAAATAAGAACCCATCATCATTTGGAAAACGAAGGATCTCCGGAACTTTTACCTGACCAAGATCTCCTGGGCGGTCCCCACTAAAGAACGCCAACTTAAAATAAGCTTGGTCACGTGCGATAATGAAACGGTCAAGTTTCGACTTTGATCTCGCTAGCTCGCCTTCAAGATACTTCGATAACTGAGTCAATTTGTCCACAAAGAATGGCGTGGCTTGTTTTGGAGTAACACGGGCCTGTAACTGCTCCGCTGTGACAAGACGAAGGTAATCTTTAACCAATTTATCAGAGGCTGGGTTACCAAGACCTAGCCGCTTGTCCCACTCTCCGTCCCGACCAATGGAATGGAAAATCGATCTTAACTTTCCTATGTAAGAGTCCACAGTCTTGTACGACAATCTCAAGGGGCAGCCACATGACTGTTTACCATGCTGACCCAAAAATTCACACGTATTGAGGTGTACCTGTGTTTTGCCACGCTTGTCTTTAAAGATCAGGAAGCGACACAAGTCCCTAGGCGTCACTGTCGCGAGAGTAACAAAACCCGGCAGAGCACCAAGAAAAGCCTCAAGTTCCCTCTGAAGAGAATCCTTCTGCTTTTTATAACTGGTTGCCTGATCGTAGTGAAGTAACTGCTGCAACCGCACTTCAATTCCATCAAGGTCAACGATAACATCAGAGTGTTCCTTGCCAAGCGTTGTCATAACCTTTCGCTTGTAGCCACAACGTTGACAAAAACGGAAGTCAAAATCATTAGCGTGTCCACAGGTTGGGCATTTAACCGACTGGACAAACAGCTTTGCCATGACTGGAAGCTCCTACAAACCAGAAAAGAAGAACCCTATCATACACCACAAACCAGTAGCACAACAGGTCAAAATGTATGCCAAGACACACCTAAAAACACACTGCAAAAACCCAGAGATCTCCAGGAATGCCCTTGTGAGGCAGCCACCCCTTTTTGGACGGGACCAAGAGAGCGTTGCCATCGCCACGAACAGCCAGACATCTACTCTTTACAGCTTTATTCATAAGGAGAGGCCACCAGTACTTCTTAGGAAACACGTCCAGCACCACTACTGTGCACGACTGTTTAAAACTCTGCAGAAATTTTAAGACAGGTCCCGTTAAGGCCATGGGAGGAAAAACATACGGTCTGGCCATAAGCGCTCCGAGGGAAGCAAGGTCCTGTGTGAAGAGATTTACACCAGACGATCCGGGAGAGGGAATCGGCGTAAAATGAGGGAGAGAATACCCGTGCGCATCCGTCATACTATTCGAATCCAAGGCCATAAGGTCGCAAGTATGGCCTTCCCTACCACCAAACTCCTTCTGAACAATCTGCCACAAGCCATCCGACAATTTACTATCTGAGTGGGACAGGCGCCTTGATGGAGCATCAGCAGGATTCTGACCAGTCGGAATGTAAGACATGTGCAGAGATAAGCTAAGCTTCGACGTTGTGAAGAAAAGCCGTTTCAATGCCATATTAAGCTCCAAGCTTCTACCACCCTGGTTGTTCCAAGCCTCGACAACGGCCTTATTGTCAACAAAAGCATCAACTCTAGCATTGAACAGTTTGTCTTTAAAAGCCATTAACGCCATGTCGACCGCAATAGCTTCCTTCGCGGCGATCCCCCATTTGCACTGCTCTTCCGTCCAATAATCTGATATTTCCTCACGATGAGGGGCTAACAAAATAGCACCCCAGCCTGATGCGGAAGCATCAGTTGCAACGGACACACGAATATGACGCTCATCCCGCCATGTTACCGGATCATCCCAACCCTCCAAAAACAGCCAATGGGAGATCTCCTCACGCAGATCCCCCCTGATGGGTATTAGCCTGTGGGGAGTACGTTGGCCACCGGCAATAGCTGCATTCATCTGCTTCGTAAACAACTGGGCTGCAGGTACTGCTAGACTAAAAGAGACACATTTCCCAACCAGGCGTTGCAAGGTTTTCACCGTAACCTTAGAGGCATGGAGTATTTCACGGACAAGTTGCAAGAATTTCTCCTTCTTTTCCGGCTTTAAGCAGAACACCTCCCTAGAAGAATCCGCTAAAAAACCAAGGTAGGGAACCACTTTACTTGGGAACAATATTGACTTTTGCAAACCAAGGAAATAGCCCAAGCTGACAAGATGGTAAGCAACAAGAAATATAGCCGACCTAGCCGCCGCAAGATGACGATCATCAACAGTGTTAATAGTAGCGTATTCCCCCTTATCGAGTGCCACCTGCAGTTCGCCATTGTGTCGATCATCGATGTAGAGCAAACAAGGGATTCCTATAGCTCTAAGGAAATTACTAGCCAACAGGCCAGTAGTATGATATACAAACGGGGAGATCTTCCACCCAAAAGGAAGGGTATTATACGTGAAATACCACCCTCCCCATTGGATCCCAAAATACGTGCGGCTGTCTTCAGAAAGAAGAATATGGTCATAGCCAGACTTATCGTCTAGGACCGTTTGGTAGGTATCCTTGCCCACGTAACGCGGTAAATCTATCAGCCTGTCTAAAGAGAAAGGCATATCACGCATCCATAAATTAAGATAGCGCGCATCGTGACATAACCTTGGCTTTGTTGGCTCAACTGTAAGGGGAAGAACAATAAATGGAGGGTCAACCACACCCACTCTCCCCAACAGCGAAATAGCTCCAGATCTCAAGCGCGCAACTAACGTTTCCTCCACAAATGACACAAAAGGCTTGCAAGAGACATTGTTCTTAAACACCTTCATCGGAGGCTCGTCTGAATCGAACAATTCTCCTTTAAAACTTCCTTTAAAATGCTTGAAAAACGGCTTAATCGAGACCTTGTCCCTTATCCACCCAAGAATCTGTGCCTGTTGGGGTGACGAGCTATCTCGCGCAATGTACTGCCAATACTCGAAATGGTTATGCAATTCTCCAGCTCGAAAACAATGTGGGTCACGGAACAATAACTCCGAAATATCACCAATTAACTCTCCCCTCTGTATCCTCTGTAATCTAACACGGTCACAGGCTGTCACTTCTCCACTGACCTCGACGGGGTTACCGAAACAATCGACCCAGGACATTGGAAGCTCAATTTCTTTGCCTCGTAACTCCTGAAGTCGAAGATCAAAGGAGTCAGATTTTTCCCAACACCACATGTTTCCCTAGGAAAAAGGGGTAGTGAAGACACCTTTAAACACTGAATCGCCGAAAAATCTAAGACCATATTAAAATCATCCCCGTCAAAGTCAGCAGAGAAATAACAGCTAAGACCAGCGAGGCTGGAGGGCCCTTGTCTCAAGGATACCCCTTTTTCAAAGTCGTTATAACTATGCTGACAAAATAGACAGAGTAAAATATGCACTAGATTGATTCAATACACACAAAAGTTTGTTTATTATCGCAAAGAATTAAGCAATATTACAACACACAGCCTTGTCCAGGCGGCCTTCAACCTATAACACCGGTGCGAACTAACGAGATCTAAACACAAGCTACTTGTCTGATTTGGGATCCGTTTTCCTCTGCTTGGACTTCAAATCAGGACAATCAGCTTTGATATGACCTCGCCTATGACAAAAATAACATCGCAAAGAAAATAGACGAGACGGACGTGCCACACCAGAACCCCTGTTGTCGTTCGCTTGAGGCTTCTTGCGATTTGACTTCTTTTCTACTTTAGAAACGATATCCAGGACCCTCTCGTGGTCCTTGTCTCCTAATAGGCGCATAACAAGGTCCTTGAAGTGGTCCTTCGACAACTCCACCTTTTCCCTCGCCGACTGATGAACGAGCCGATAGTAGTTCTTCCTGTCATGATTACGGTCAGCGGCCTTGTTATGCAGAGTCTCCAGCATCTCAAGCACCTCATACTTGTTAAACTCTGTCAACGGGCGGGAAGCATAAGCCAAGATCTGTTCCACGAGCTTCTCAGGCGACGCGTTGGTTACTGCCTCCACTGACTGCTTTAACTGTCTCACCTCCTCACGCAATCTCTGCAAAGGAACAAAGAGACTCTTAATCACCGCCCACCTCAATGTGCGAAGCACTCAGTGTTATGCATAAAAAACCTCATTACAGGCCTCGTGAAAAAACAAAAACATCACGTAACTTCTCGCGTTACCATGTATAAACATCCTTCGGCAGGCACAGCCAAAGGAGAAAATACAAGTAAGACGACCTAGCAACGTTCAACAATTAACGATGACCCATTATCATAACTCATAACAAACATCCAAAGGCCACATCAGCCGAAGGAAAAGACAAAACACAAATGACACCTCGCTGTCACCATTCGTAACCATCCCACGACCGCAAAAAGGCTGAAGGAAATACAAATAAGCGAATTCACGGCGTCTCTCTAGCCAAAAGCTAGATGTCACCGCCGAACAAAACGGCCACGTCGCTTGTACAATAAGCGAGTCCACAGCGTTCCTCTAGCTAAAAGCTAAACGCCCAACGCTGGTCCGTCAACCAACCACCGCCGAACAAATCGGCCACCTCGCCTGTACGGTTTGTAACCATCCAACGACCACAAAGGCCGAAGAAAATACAAACAAGCGAGTCCACGGCGTTCCTCTAGCCAAGAGCCAGGCGCCGACCGCTAATCCGTCAACTAGCCACCGCCGAACAAATCGGCCACCTCGCTCGTACGGTTTTGTAACCATCCAACGACCACAAAGGCCGAAAGAAATACAAAATAAGCGAATCCACGGCGTTCCTCCAGCCACAAGCCAGACGCCGAACGCTAGTTCGTTAACTAGCCACGCGGAATAACCCGACAATCTTCCGAAAAGATTTCGATAACAGGCCGCGATCGGGCCAAAAGCTCTCCGTTATTCTCTCCACCATGCTGTGTGAAGAACCTGAAAGATACGACAGACAAGAGAAATATGCCACGAAAGAATTCATAACAACTAAAAGAGAACTACCTCCAGTTCCTGAGGCTGAGCGACATTAACATTCTGGTTGCCATCCGGTGGATTCACAACCGGCGGATTCACCACTAGCGGGTTCACGACCGGTGGATTCACGACTGGCTCTACAGGATCGACAAGTAACTGAACGTTCGGCTCCGGAGGTTGACCCTCAGCCATCAGGAAATCGTCAAGAAAATCGCGTGGGTCGTATCTTCCAAAAGAAAAGAGACCAGCTCTTCGCGGCTCCGCTGAAAAACTGAGCAAGAATGGTTTATTTTCGCGCCAAACCAGAATTTATTATCGGTAATTACGTAATCGCACGTGAGACCGCTAGACTAGCCATGAAAGAACCCATTAATAGAGAGATTAAGATTCACGTTTACGCCTAACGGCAAACGGGAATTTGTACCACGTGACCAAGTTTTTCCCTTAATTGTCGTTAACTGTTTATCACTTCAACAAAAAAATAAGTAGTTTGACGCCAGTTTTAAACATAAGAATTGTTCTGGACAGTTTTCATCTGCTTATTTTCTATTCTGAGAAATTCTCAACTTGAATCTGACGTTTGCCGTTTGGCGTAAACGTGAATCTTAAACTGCCTATTGAATTATTTTAACCTCGCATATCATTATGAGTGTTGTGAATAGAGACTGTTTTTACATTTTCCCTCCTGCACACTGCAGCGTTGTCTCTTTCTTTCCAATTTTTAACATTATCAGTGAAGTGAATTAAAAGTAGAGGCTTTAAATGTGTTCAAGTATGTGCTTCTTTGAAAAGTTGTCGTGGTATTTTAAAGTACAGTAATTACATACTGGCGTATACAGGCACTGCAAGTGGATGTTCCTTCCAAAAGGTCTTTTAACCCTTTGAGCCCTAAGAGTGATCAACATCAAATTTCTTCTTGTAACATCAATGCTTTGTAAAACAGAGTGGTCATTAGAGTTACGGACAGATCTCACAAGATGAATTTGCTTGATATTTTATCAACTTCTCCCCACTACTTCTGTAGGAAATGAATAGCAGCAACAAATGAGAATTCAAATCTTGATCTTAGGGTTTAAAGGGTGAAACAGGCTATATAACGCCATTTGCTATCTTTTTTAAAAACAAACGTGTCTTTGCATCAATTGAATCCCCCCTTCCCAAAACAAAATGCTACACTTTGGTTATTAAAGACTATATTTAGGCTATGAAACTGTTTCCTGTCCTCCGTTGCTACGGATGCCAAGGATGGATATGGATTGAAACTTGAATAAATTGGGCCAACATTTTTCAAGTTTAAATGCTATGCCCGCAAAGATCATCTCAAAATCTTATGGTTCGTGCAACCTGATGAAATTTGTTTGACATCTTTTTCATGACTCAACAGAAGCATTTTGTGCTTGCTGGGTAAAAGCACTGATTAATGACTTCAGTACAGAGTTTATCTGAAACATCAATATCCTACTGACATAGCCTCTTTAACCCTTTCACTGCCAGAGTAAATAATGGAGTTTTTGTGAGGTAGCTCTAACTTTTGAGTCTTTGGACGAAATCCTATGATGTGACCATTCAAATGAAACCTCTCTACTTGTACTTTCACATGGTGCTACTTGTTTTTCAAAATTTTACAAAATGAAATTTGGGATTTTTTGTCAAATTTTTCCTTTTCCCACATTTGGCAGTGAAAGGGTTAATGGTTTGTTTTTCTCTATTACTTAGGGTTGTGGTCCAACTGTTACTCGAGCCATTGTTGTTAACGCTGCACAATTAGCAACTTACTCTCAAGCCAAACAAGGCCTTCTTTCCACAGGTTAGTAAGATTAAAGGTTTTTATTGCCCCATCTGAGTTAATACGAAATATTTGTAATGTTACGTCATGTCGTGAATAAGAGGACAAGAAGACGCGCTCTTTTTACATATTAACATGTGAACAGTAAGCTCGGACTTCGGTATCAAAAGCGCCACCGGCAGCTGCATCAGTTCATTTATGAGCTTACTGTAACCCTCCGCCGCCCTCCTTAGCCCTTCCACCAGGGAACTTCCTCCACCCTTTTCGAACAGTAGTCTGAGTTATTTCACGTCCCCTATGATTTTGACTGGTGAAAGAAGGATGAGACAAGGATAATGACTTAACGTCACCGCCTAATGACGCCATCATTTTAACTGAGACAAGCTCTCAAATAACAGCTATCATGATCTCACCAGTTTTTCAAAGACCCTGGCTGTTAGTCTGACCGGAGTTTCAACCCTCGACCTTCCACTCGGCAGACCAGTGCCCTCCCAACTGAGCTATCCGGGCAGCGGTTACGGATTCCGGGAAGTTTTTTCTTGTGGAATCCAGAATCCAGGGGTTTGGAATCCGTTATTCAACTCAAGGAATCAGATTTCCCACTGGTGTAAAGGAACCCGGAATTAAGTTTTTGGAATCTGGAATCCACGGTATGGAATCCAGACAGGGGCACCCAACGTCAATTTTCGGAAAATATCTGTTCGGAAGACGATTTGAGGTCTAGAATTTTCAAAACATTTGTTGTAAAATTTCTTGCTTGCCTGCCTCTCCTAGGATTCTCGAACATCTAAAAAATGGTATAATTGCCCATTTTTAACGGATTTTTACCCTGAAAAGTCACCTAGAATTTTCGGGAGCCTTTTTTCTGGCTGAAATTTTTGAAAAGGTAAGTTTTGATCCCTATAATTTTCGGATCACTATACTTTCAGCTAGGAAATCCGAACAGATGAAAAATTTTTAGGGGATACAAATATCGCCTTCATCTACCGTTTTTATACTCAAAAACGTTTAACAATGCTATGTGTAAGTGGTTTTGAACTATATTCTCGTTGGGTGCAAATGTCCAGAATCCAAGACTGCCTTGGATTGCCTTACTCGGGCGATCCATTTTTCTCACCGTTAGTTCCATATGAACAAGTCCTATCTTTGTCTATAGCCCGGTTAGTGACCAAGATAAACATTCGTAATTAAACAAATAGATTCCATTTTGTCGTGTGTCTGTTTTATTACGTGTTTTTATATAATTATCTAATGACTTTGAAAAGTCGTCCGTCGATTTGTTCTTACCACAGTTTGATGTCTTCTGTGATGTGCATGTAAACTGAACATAGGTCAACAGACAATGGAAGATTTTTTCCATTTTTCAAGCCATTAAAACTGTTTTTTCTTTCGGTTTCTGCTTCTCTTTCTTCTTGTAAATAGCTTCCGCTCCCGGGGGGGGGGGACTCCGCATATGAAAGGGGTGGAGGATGCTCGACGGAAATTTTGAATTAAACCCTTAAAAGAGACCGATCTGGGCGTAACTGGGCTTCCGCTAAACTTTTTTCACGACTTATAACTGGCTAAATCTGGAATAATTTGGCAAACATTGTCAAAACTGTGCGCGATACTGGAGAGAAAAAAGGAAATATTTTTCTACTACGTCAGCCGTGTGTTTTTAGTTTACTCTAACAGTTCATAGATTATAACGATGCAAAATCATTTTTGTATAATAGAGAAAATAAGTCATTTACCAAAGGAAGAAAACAAATTTTTAGCGTTTTTTGAGAGCCAACGTTCGATATAGTTTGAGTGATATGTAAAGTCTTGTTGAGATGTCTTTTTTTTTGTTGTGTTTTCAGGTTACTTTAAGGATGATCTTTTGTGTCATTTTGGTGCAAGTATGATCAGTGGTTTAGCGACAACTCTGGCATCTATGCCTGTAGATATTGCTAAAACTAGGTATGTACATTGACCGACAAGTCGCTTATAACTTAACAATAAAAATTATTAAAAACTGAATTATTGGATAATGCAATTCTAGAACTCCGATTGGCTTAGCCATCATGGTATATGAACCATTAGTAAATTCCAACTAGTGGTCTATTATCAATGCGACGTTCTGATTGGTTAAGCTACTACTAGTGCTATATTTTATAGCCCCCTAGTAGCGAAAAGCGCGGGCTTTTTGGCGGCAAAAAAGGATTGAAGTCTAGCTTTAACTAGCTAAAAATTTTTTATTCTCGATATTTTTGACCAACTGGTTGGATTTTACTAAAACAATTATTCCTCTCGCCCTCATGGCCTCTGAGTTAATAGCCCATGAGGCCGCTATTGACTCAGAACCCATTCGGGCTCGAGGAATAATTGTTGATTATACCATGCTTTCCAAATATGGTAACTGTACGCGTCTGCTCAAAATTAAGAACAAGATGAAAATTGGTTGTTTTTGCAAATAAAGTCGGGAAGAATTCTTGATATTTTGTGGGCGTTTTTAATGAAACAATTATTCCACTCGCGCTTGTTGGATACGAGATGATTATAGCCAACGAGGCGCGTAGACTCTCTACCATCTCATATCCAACGCGCACTCGTGGAATATTTGTTAATTCTACGTTCAGTCATAATTTTTTTTTGAAAGGCAAAAACATCTTTTTTATAAGACGTGCAGTGAACTGAAAGTTAAAGAGACCTATTCGGAGCCCCTAAATCCTGCGTTTTAAAGACTGGGTCAATTTTGAGGTAATATGATGTACCTCAACAGTTACTTATATGGTTTTTTAGTTTTATTTATACCTTATCTAGTGAATACAAGTCGGTAAAGTTACCCAAGCGAAGCAAATATCGCTTGCTTTCTGCGTCTAAATGTTGCTAGAAATAGATGAAAGAATAAGCAATGAAAACTAAGTACGATGTCATAAAAAATTTCATTTTTCATAGACTGGTATGTGCACAGTGACCAAATAAGCCGATGCTCTGCTAGCAGTGTGCGGTTTGTTCTGTAATGTAAAGAGAACTATATCGCCCTGCAAGCAAAGCCTTATTTTGTCTTCCTGACGCCAAAATCGAGGAAGTGAAGGAAAGTCTTTGCTCGCACGTGGATCTGTATTAGCATGAACTGTTTTCTCTTTCTCTTATTAGGATTCAGAATATGAAGATTATTGACGGAAAACCCGAATATCGAGGAGCAGTGGTAAGATTTAATTTACAGGTCATATTCACCATGGTTATTATGGTTACTTCTTGTTTTGCGTGGTACATATCACAACCTATGTGATTTTCGGCGTCTTAATGATCCGCGTTTTCGTTTTCAGTGAGCTGAAGTTGTTTCGTTTTCAGCCTGAAGTGGTTTATTTCTTTGTTGACAAGAAAAAGATTGTTCTATGAACATTGAAAAATAACGCCACGTAGGGCGGAGCCAATTGATGAAGAAAAAAAATTGTGCAGTTTAAATTATGAGCAGGGGAGGGAGATTTTTTCAATTAAGAAGTTATGAACGACGTGGAAATCATAATTCACCTTTAAATTCATTTTAATACGTGTATGTGTCAAGCGGCGAAGTAAAAGAAACAAAGTAAAATCGAACTCTTCAGCTAACTATTTTTAAAGACGCCAACGTGTAACTTAAATTTATCTTTAAATTTTTATTTTAACTAAGGAAACAGCTTTCATTTATTTCGTTCTGCGCAATATTATACAACCTGGAGTGGGTCATCTTTTTAATGATTGATTTTTCTGGAACCAAAACTTCTCCGCTAACAAATTCATCATAAAATGCTTGTATTGGCTATTTATCGGTTGATATTTAAGCAACAGAAAACGTTTTCCGTGTTTGCATAGCCTGATATAAACACGAGAGGGGTTGGGAGAATTCGAGACAGTTATGCAAACCCGAGACGAAGTCGAAGGTTTGCATATCTATCGAGAGTACTGCTTTTATAAAAGAAGATTCCCGAGAAAAAAGGCAAAACTCTTTGTATTGTACTGATTAAACGAGAAATTCTTACCAGTCGCAAAGTCTTATCCACGAAGTCTTGCACGCGTAATCGGTTCTTGCTTTGCAAAACGATGCTTTTCAAAATACGGACTTTTCTCGCTTAAAATGTCAGTTTAAACGAAAAAAAAATTGACACACTTTCTTTGTAACGATTTTCCAAGTTTCAGACGACGAAGGAATGGGTAAATAAAGTAAACTTGTCGAGTTTTGAACAAATTTGTGCTTGCGTGATTAGCGCGCGAAAAGCAAAACATCTTGACGCCACAACCATGTTTACATACTCTCATGCAAACACTCCTCTCAGCCAATCAGAGCGCCCGTACTATCTTAGGTATTTTATAATCTGTCGTATTGTACGATGGGACTCTTTTGGGACGCTTAGCCTGCGTAGCAAGCGTTTCCGTGCGGTTGCGGAGCAAAGAACTAGGAACGAGAGTCAAAGCCCGTGCGAAAAATGGCGTGAGTAAAAGAGCGGGAAGGGGTTGGGGCAAGCTTTGGAAAGCTAGTAGCCTGCACAGCAACTGTTATTGGGTGCGCTCGGGTAGGCTATGGGAAAAGAGCGCGAAGCACAAAGCGCAAGACACGCGGGATGAGGGAAAAAATGCCTTCCTCTCGCGTGTCTTGCGCTTCGCGTCCGAGCTCTAAAACTCACCTGCAACGAGCGCCCCCAATGTAGACTAATAACAGCTGGGCCCGGTTGTTCGAAGGCCGATTAGCGCAAACCCGGGGTTAAATTTAAATTCGGGTTACTTTATCTTTTTTTGAAAAGCATCTTCTCGGACAATTTTCTCTATTCTTTTTAGTTCGTCCAGTTACCAAACTGTGGACAAAAAGAATTAAACTGAATTTACATTTTAAGGTTAACAGCTTAGTGAGAAACTTCAAAAACTTCAAAATCGTGCTATCAGAGTTATCGCTAAATCTAGCTACGATACGGGCTCCAGATATCTTCTAACTCGCTTGGTTGGGACAATTTATCGTTTAGAAGGGCTAAACAAAAGGCTAATTTAATAAACAAGTGCATTAATAATCTCGCCTCAGCTTATCTCTGTAATTTGTTTGCCCCAAGAACACCGAATTACTATTTTCGCAAAGCCAAGAAAAAATTAATGTTCCCAAATCAAGAACTGATCACCTGAAGCGTAGCTTTAGTCACATTGGCGCTCTTCTATGGAACAATCTCCCTGAGGAAATACGTACATCAAATTCCTTAGGTCCCATAGATAAGTTTCCATAGATGGTTTTCTGATCAGTACTCCCACACGGAAGTTATGGAAAAATATATCTGAATTCAAATTTCACACTAACCCTGGGTTTACCGTAACCTAGCTTTGAACAACCCGGCCCTGTTACACAGGCTAGCACGCTAGCGATTCTTTTATTAGCTAGAATGAGTATGAATACTAAATTCGGGGACCCAGTCGCAAGTTACAACCTCAAAATAGCCTATTTGCGGGCGACAAGAGGAGCCCGCAATTCTAACCTAGCGCTAACCCGGAGTTAAATTTTAACCCGGGTGTCTTTTTCTTTTTATCAAAAGCACTCTCGGATAATTTTTAGAGTATCCAATCAACAAATTGTAGGCAAAGTGAGTTAAACTGAATTTGCTTTTTAAGCTCTCATATCTGAGGTCAAATTTCGCGCTAACCATGGGTTATCTTAACCCAGCTTTAAACAACCCGGCCCAGGTTGTTATTAGGCATGTATGTAGCCAGCATTCGTTTGAACTTCCACTAAGAATAAATTGAATGCGCTGAACGCAATATGATCACGCGCGTTTGGACCTTCTAGCACTCATAATCTGATCACGCTTGTTTTGACCATCTGTCAGGTGAAACTTACGCAAAGCACAGCGCTGGAGCAAAAGCGTGTTGACCTTCGATCGTTGTCGGCCGCACTCCGTAACCTTTGGTTATTACTAGTTATACAAAGAATAGTTTGTCTGTTCCTTCGAAAAGAAAGTCAAACAAACACACAAAATGACCCGTATTTACGGAAGTTTTCTTCTTCCCCGGAACCTCTACCACCTTTTCAAGTCGTAACAGTAAGATTGAAGTGGCATCAGTGGTACGAGTTGTAAAACAATGCCTACCATTATTTGTGCGATTGGTTCTAGTAGTGAATGTGATACGCTTGATTGAAATAAATTGAAGTTCATCACTTGGTAGCCTCCCACGCAGACGTGACATTCTTTTGGTTCGTCACGCAATCCTCGCACGGGTGACGAAGCCCTAAGAACGCCTGCGTGGAAGGCTGATCAGTTGGCTGCAGCATCTCATTAGTGTAGAGAGGGGGCCTTTCATGTGGTACGACTTACACGAGTGGTAGCCTGCCAGCAAACTCTCCATTTGGGGGAGTCGCGATAAGTCACGTGAGAGCAGCACGCGAAAGGAGAGGCGAGTGCGGAAGGGCCCTCGCGGCTTTGCCGCTCGTTCGCGCGTTCTTCGTGGCTTGCTTCGCTCGCCTTACACGGAGAGCTTGCTAGCAGGCTGCACGAGTTGTATAATTAACATCTCGCAAGTGCACAGAAGGGGCCTTAATTTCACTAAGATTGATCAAATTCACCGTCTCTCGCGACTTGTACCACTGGCACAAGTTGCAGCACTCGAATCACGACTTACACGACTTGAACAAGCGGTTGGTATTGGACAGAGGGGAGGGGAGGGTGGGGTACTCCCTCATGACTTAATCACGGTTTGTGTCCCTTTTTGTTTCCAGGACGTGTTTCTAAGAGTGATTCGTCAGGAAGGGGTGTTTGCATTATGGAAAGGCTTCACACCTTACTATTTTCGCATTGGGCCACACACCGTTCTCACATTTGTATTCCTTGAACAATTTCAAAGGCTGGCTAGACAACACTTTGGCGCTACTTCCACTCTTTAGTCACACACCAGTACTGGAATGATAAAAATGTTTTAGAATATGTTTGTTATAGTGGGTCAATGGATTGGTTTGGAAAAAATGATCGGGGCGAAGTCTTTACAAATCGGAAGCGTTTCTTGAAACCAGCGTAAGATTCTAAGGAAACTCCCCACCTAACCCTCCCCTAATCCAACTTTTTATCCTAAGTGAGAAGTTTGTGTTTACGTTGGGTTAGGGGAGGGGTAGGTGGGGTGTTTTCCCAGAATCTTATCTGCTCCTGTCACGAGCAAACTAGTCTAACACGCAGGCGGTTTTGTGTGGTCACTCAAAGGAGCGTTACGTGACGAGAAAAAAAAAACGTCTGTGTGAGAGACAATCGCAACAATTGTCAGCTTTAAAACTTTGGGCTCACTGATTAATTGAGGCTGTAAATGTTGGACCTTGACATAAACCTTTCAAACTTCTGAAAGTGCTTTGAAACAAGCTAGCATGGCAGCGGAGAAAAAGTTAACAGTTGAAAATGTTCCTTTTCTCTTCGAACATGTAAGGAGTTGATAAACGTGATAACCTGAACTGTAACTTTTGCATTTTAATATAATACTGATTAAAGTGAGGAAAGTCGACTTGATAAATTACTGGTTACTTGGATTAACATTGTAAGATTAAATATCTACCTCAGCGGTTTATATTTGACCTTAATTTATTAACACCCCGGGCTATTAATAAAGATGATTGTAAAGATAAGTGTAACTTAAAAAAATGTATTAAGGGTCAGTTCTATTAAATATGAAACTCCTGTATTTTATCAGAATGTAATCATGAAAAGCTTTCATCCGATCAAAGTGCTTGTTATTTTTTGTTAACTGGTTAATATATTTGTTGTGAAAGTGAAATCCTGTCTTTGTTGTAAAAATGGTACAAATAAACCTATGGAAGGTAAAAAAAATCGACTTGTTTAACTGCACAGAAAGATACAAAGTTAATTATTTATCGTTATTTATTTATGTATTAAAGTTATTTATCGTTAGACTTGAGAATATGTCAGGTGCAAGCCGTTCAATTTCGTTGTGTCGGAGAGGAACCTGCACAAATAAGTGGTTTTAATGTAATGGGCTTATAAGTGTGTGTGGGAAGGGGGGGTGCTTATTAGTTTACGATACCCAAACCCAGTCTACACAACTGCAACATATGCGTCTAATACAGTGGCGGATCCAGGGAAGGGGCCCGAGGGAGGGAGTCCGTCCGGCACCCCCCCCCCCCCCCCCACCCAATGCAGTCATCTAAAGTAACATTATACCAAAAACATGAATACCCTCTAGACATCTGTTAGTGTATTGAACAAGAGAAAGTAATTATAATGATGTATGAGGTTAAACAAAAAATAAATTATCATCAATAAAAATACAAAATTATTAATACTATATCTACTGCGATATAAAACCCGACGCCCCAACAC